GTAAGTAAACAAATTTTCTTTCTTTTTTCGGTTTCATAGTTGCTTTAGCTTTAATTATTTCCCACGATTCTTTTTTCAGCATCTGTCGAAAGAGGACGTTATGCACTCAAGCTAACGTCTTTTAATTATGGTCAAAATTATGTTAAAGGTTAGAGGTTTTATATTTGAAATAGCGTATAGATTTTTTTCCCAATGAGTACCATTGAATAAAATTGATAATTAGAGAAATACATAACGGTAAATAAATGAAAAATCAAATATTTGTATTGAAAGAAATACATGCATAGATGATTGTATAATGTATTAATCACCAGGGATTTGAAATGAGTACAAAGATACAGGTAGATATGTAAGATAAATATTAATCCCAAAATATCCAGGGTCTATAAAAAGAAAGGATTATGGTCCACATTATTCGTTGAACTTCAACTTAAAACACGCGGGTATATGAAGAAAAAAAACATAAACCATATTCACGTCAATATAAAACAGAAAGACATGAAACAAATGTACAAGAGGAAATAAAACAGAACCACAACAAAGGAAACACAAGTCGATCTCCTTATTAGGCGGTAAAACGGTGTTGCTGTCTGATGAGTCTACTGTTTCTCCTCCTCAACGGCTCTGTTTCAGTCTATCCAAGGATATGGCTTTAGAACCCACGACTAGAATGACCAATGGTTAATATTCAAATGATTGATATCAAAACGCATTAATAATAAAATGATTCGTATTTAAATCAGTGATAAATGATTAATTGTTGGTCTTTCGTGATACCCTGACTTTGGGAGCAGTATCATCATTTAATACGCACTCTCTTCCAGAAATCTAAAGTTCAAGTAAGCTACAGATTTACCTTTTTAATTTTTATTCATTATTTTCAGTGAGATTCTTTGATAAGAAAAGGAAGACATATTTATTCGACGTTATATTTCGGATGAGTAAGTGTCAATTGTTTTTTTCCTAAGAGGTAGTTTAGTCAGAATTCCAAATAATTAATCCTGTCTTATGGAATTATTCCTTCTCTTATGACCGTGTTCATTCTCGGTTCTAAACTTCCTCGGGCGTCTAGAGAGGTTGAAGGCAAACTCCAAGACGGTAGCAACTGCCAGAGAAACTGGAAAGTGTATTTCTATTTCCTGCTAGAAACTAATTGATTTATTGGAAATCAGTTCTCTCTCACACAATCACAAACACACACACACAACACACAACACACACACACACACACACATACATATATTATATATATATATATATATATATATATATATATATATGTGTGTGTGTGTGTGTGTGTGTGTGTGTGTGTGTGTGTGTGTGTGTGTGTTGTATGTATGTATTTATGCAGACGTTTGTTTGTGTACGAGTGCATTCTCCATCAATGTACGCGCATATGCGTATGAGTGCGTGAGGCCGTGCGTCGCCTCCGTGCCCCTCCCGACCCGAGCCTCCAGAGCCGCTCCCGAGGAAGGTCCCGGTGCCAGGGGATCACCGGCGGCGTGGAGGTCGGCCTCTTCATCAGCTAATGCTCGGAGCGAGAGTGGCGGAGCCGAGTCGTGGCTTTGTCAGCGTCCTTCTCGGTATCTGATTCGATGTTCTTATCCGCTGGGCCGTGACGGGTTCGGAGTGCTGATGAGGTGTACAGTGGGGTCGAAAGTCGCCTTCGTTAACGTGGTTTCCGTTTTTTTTCTTTTTTCTTTTTTATAATTGTTATTATTATTATCAATTTGTTTATTTATTTTTAAGTTGCTATTTTATTATGTTGTTTATTTGGTGTGTTTACAAAAAGCATTAGATACACTTTCCTTTTATCGTATCTTGGGTTATAATATGCCATGATCTTTTACTATATAACAATACTTGCCAAGCTTGATAGATGAACTCATAAGGAAGAAAGTGTCATTTTCTTAATTAATGTGGCAAAAGACATGATACATCCTAAATTTGCAACGAAATATTACAATACGATATGGACATTGACCACATTATCAAAGCTTGCCCACGCCTGTCCAGTTAATCAAGCCCGTAAGATAAACGTAAATGGAATTATACGAAAGGAATTCACGAGTCATACCTGCAGAACAGCTTCGGGTAATGTATTATTCATCAGTTTTGTTGATAATGTTATTTAGTGTCATTTTCCAGACCAACTACACTATGAAGTAAGCCATCGTGTTTTTAAATTATTTACCACCCTGATCTCCGTGAGCAAGCTTCTGCTGTAGCGTGCACATTGTATCATAATATACGTATTTGTTGAGTCTCCACTTTGATGCATTTGAGAATTGACTTCAATATCATATAGATATAAGACATTACATAATATCTTCAACCAGGCTACATCAGATGAAAGAGAATAGTGGAATAGCTCTTTGTACCTCATTTTACCGGTCCCGATGTGTACAATAGTTTGTTTACCTGCAGTGCTGTGTTTGCAGTTGCTTTCGTTATCATATGTTTCAACGACATGCAAATACAGCCTGTATCCAAGCCTGGT